CTCTCTCTCTCTCTCTCTCTCTCTCTCTCTTGCCCCCAAACCTCCATCTCTCCCTCCCTTTGTGCAATTTTATTTAGTTAGATGTATGCAGTTATTTGAGAAGGTTTTTCTGCCACAATTTTTTCTCTGCCTCTCTTAAAAGACTTTTATTGGTGCCTATTAATTACACAAAATAAGGGATTTCTTTTAGTATATTCATACAAGCATATAACATACCATGCTTGTTTTTACCCTTTCATTGCTTCCTCCACTTCCTTTCCTGACCTCCTGATCCCCTTCCTCTCCTCTAATTGTCTCCTTTCTACTTTCCTGTCTTATTTATTTTTTATTTTTTAGGTTCACATGAGAGAAAACATACCATATAAAGCTTTCTGAGTCTAGTTTCACTTAACATGACCATGTCTAGTTCTATTCATTCTCCTGTAAATGATACAATTTCACTCTTCATGACCGAAAAATATTTCATTGTGTAAATATACTATATCTCTTATTGAGTTTATTGGTACATTTTAGGTATACAGTACAGTTACATTCATTATTGGGATCTCGTACCTTTACATGACAGGTCTTGGTTCTCATTTTTTCCCCTTGTCCCTGCCCTTCCTTCACCCCTTATACTATATCTTTTTATCCATTCATCTGTTCAGAAGCACCTAGACTATTTCTTTAGGTTGACTCTTGTGAATTCCAATGCAATAAATATGGGTATACAGGAATCACTATAGTATGCTGTCTTTAATTCTTTCAAGACTCTTCCAAGGAGTGATATGGCTGGATCAAATGGTATCTCTATTTTTAGTTTCTTGAGGAAACTTTATACTGATTTCCATGGTGGCTGTACGAGTGTATACTCACAAGCTGTGTGGAATGGCTCCTTTCTCCCCCCCGTATCCTTTGCAGCATTTTTTGCATTATTGATAATAGCCATTTTGACTGGGGTGAAATGCAGTCTCAGTGTAGTTTTAATTTGTATTCTGTAATGACTAAAGTTATTGATCATTTGTACTTTTTTTTTTTAGTACTAAGGCATGAACTGAGGACCTTCACACTGAGCTATATCCCCAGCCCTTTTAAAATATATTTTATTTGAGATTATGTCTTTACATTACTAAGTCATCCAGGCTGTCCTCAAACTTGTAATCCTCTTGCTCCAGTCTCCCAGAGTATGGGAGCCACCACACCCAGCCTTGTACTTCTTTTGAGGAACATCTGTTCAGGTCATTTGCACATTTATTGGTTGGATAACTTGTGTTTTTTAATGTTTTGATTCTTTATATAGTGTAGACATTAATTCTCTGTTGGAAGAGTAGCTGGCAAGGATTTTCTCCCATTCTGTAAGCTGACTTTCACTCTTGATTGTTTCCTCTGCTGAGCCAGAGCTTTTAATTTTATGTAGTCCCATTTGTTGATTCTTGCTGTTATTTCCTGTGCTGTCAAGGTCCTACTCAGGAGGTCTTTGCCTGTGCCGTGACTTGAAATGTCTCCCCTATGTTTTCCTCTGGTGGTTTCTAAGTTTCCCATGTTATACGTAGTTCTTTGATCCACTGAATTGATTTGGTACAGAGTGAGAGGTATGTAGCTTCCATCTCCTGCATATGGATATCCAGTTTCCCTGGCAGCATGTGTCAAAGTTGTCTTTTCTCCAATGTATATTTTTGCACCTTTTGTCAAGAATCAGACGGTTGGATGAGTTTGTTTCTGCATCCTCTGTTCCACTGGCCCACATGTCTGTTTTTATGCACATTACTATTTAGCAATACACCTTTTAAATTGTGATTACTACATTTTGATGATACATAACATATACATTCATTATGGAGAGTTGGTACACTTATGTGTTGAATCTTAATCCTTTTTATTTTCCATTTCCTCCCTTCCTTCCCCTCTCCATCCCTCGATCCCCTTCACATATACAAAACATTCACCTCTCTGTTTCCTAATGTCTTTTACATTTTGTTCTGCCCTAATTCTTGAAAAAAAATTAACTTCCTTTAATGTTCAAGATTAGTGCTTTGGTGCCAAGCCAAGTACCTATGCTTGGATTTCCAAGACTTTTAAGAGAAGGACGCAGATTATGGCCACAAGGCACCGGGAGGACTAGCATCAGGGTCACAAAAGAGGGTACGGTTGTGGAAAGTTTTTTATCATAATTTCACTTGAATGACATTTTCTAAACGACGGGAGCTGTCATTAGGAATGGCTTCAACCTCCTCTCCGGAGTCCAGCAGCCCGTGACAGATACATGTGTGACTATGGGGCAAGTCCTTAGCAACTGGCCTGGCCCTCTGCCGGCCACTGTGCTGCAGGGTTCTGACGCGCGGTGGCGGACAGCAGCCCGCTCTAACGTTCTACAGTTGCTTTATCGTTGCTGCTGATCAGGTTCATGGAGGGAAGTCCATCCCTGAGGCGCATGACGGCGATGCGGGAGAAGGGCCGGCGCCAGGCGGTCCGCGGTCCAGCCTTCATGTTCAACGACCGGGGCACCAGCCTCACGGCCGAGGAGGAGCGCTTCCTCGACGCCGCCGAGTACGGCAACATCCCCGTGGTGCGCAAGATGCTGGAGGAGTCCAAGACGCTGAACGTCAACTGCGTGGACTACATGGGCCAGAACGCGCTGCAGCTGGCCGTGGGCAACGAGCACCTGGAAGTGACCGAGCTGCTGCTCAAGAAGGAGAACCTGGCGCGCATCGGCGACGCCCTGCTGCTGGCCATCAGCAAGGGCTACGTGCGCATCGTGGAGGCCATCCTCAACCACCCCGGCTTCGCGGCCAGCAAGCGCCTCACCCTCAGTCCCTGCGAGCAGGAGCTGCAGGACGACGACTTCTATGCCTACGACGAGGACGGCACGCGCTTCTCGCCCGACATCACGCCCATCATCCTGGCGGCGCACTGCCAGAAGTACGAGGTGGTGCACATGCTGCTGATGAAGGGCGCCAGGATCGAGCGGCCGCACGACTACTTCTGCAAGTGCGGGGACTGCACGGAGAAGCAGCGGCACGACTCCTTCAGCCACTCGCGCTCGAGGATCAACGCCTACAAGGGGCTGGCCAGCCCGGCGTACCTGTCCCTGTCCAGCGAGGACCCGGTGCTCACGGCCCTGGAGCTCAGCAACGAGCTGGCCAAACTGGCCAACATCGAGAAGGAGTTCAAGGTAAGGTCGGCTCGCCCCTC